CACGGCGAGATGTCAATGCAGAAGAATCATTAACAGAATTAGAAGTAGTAGAAGGAGTGGAAGAAGTCATGAAGGACAGAAGAACAAACCCTAAAAAAATCCAACGTAATCCAATCAACCCACGAAGCACAGATCGAGAAGACCAAAACAAGTATGTCAAGACTAAACGGCGCAGAAGACAACGGACGACCAACTCCAATAGTGGTGATCTCAATAGCACAATGGTCACTTGACCAAGTCGAGCAAAACTGTATGTCGCCATTCAAAAATGAAACTCTGGCGGCTCCGACTGTGATAGTGGCATGAACCAGTACACCAGGTAAGTTCCTAGGAAAGAGAGGTGGGTCATTAATGGACACACTTAAATACCAAGTCTTTCCTTGTCAGAACTTTCCTAGACATGCACTTTCACACTACCAAATAATATTCAGTAACAAAAATAACTATTTTCTAATGTGGAAGATCAGTTTAACTGGCAGCAGTGGCGGTGGCGGCTCGAGCAGTAGACAAAGGCAGAAAAATTTTAAAATAACCTTAAGCTCTATATACCATGTTAAATATAGAGGAATAGGGTTTAAGATTAATATCCCTTGTGTATAAACCACACATAGGGTAATCTATTTATAATAGAGAGAGGTACAACTAAAAAAGTAACCGAAAGTAAACAAAATAAACAAAAATATTATTTGATATTGTGAGTGACAATATCTAACAATATCTAAACAATATCTAACACTTGTTAAGGTTCCAACATAAAACCAATTGGCAATATGTGGAGTAGTCTAACATATATTTAAATCATACTAAATGACATGAGGCAGGCGATGTGGGATTTCCAACACGCCCCCTCCAATGAAGTCTGCCGAACTAGGCAAATGGTACTTTTGACCCACAACGAAATGACAACTCTTGGCCTAAGACAATAACCGAAAAAATGTTAGGTTTTGGCTCTGATACCATGTTAAGGTTCCAACATAAAACCAATTAGTAATATGTAGAGTAGCCTAACATGTATTTAAATTATACCAAATGATATGAGGCAGGCGATGTGGAATTTCCAACATATAACAAAGACAGGAAGATGCAATTTCTTCACAAACAACAAATCTTTCATCTTGTCTTTCCACAAAGGATAATTTGTGTCATTTAAAGCAACTATTTTTATACTTGTTTCCATCATTCAAGCAAGTAAATATAGCCCAAAAAAAAAGAACCCTGATGTCACTCTAATAGGAAAAAACAACACCACAACCTAAACTATCAAATTATGCAGCAGAAATAATTTCACTAAACTTGCAAAAATCCTCCTCACAACAACCACACCAATATTTTTAGCGTGAAAAAACTCTCTCAATATAAGAAGTAAAAATCCATGGGCATGAGTCAGTCAATCAAGCTCCACTAATATCAAAAGTATAATTACAAAAGAGTTAAATCAAAATGCACAAATAAGTACCTATAAAACAACTAATATATCAAAGTAACAGTGCTCTCAAATTTTGAAAAACAAAGAAAAGAAACATAAAAATCAGTGTGAGACTAGTATCTCCAACCACAGACCTTCAATTGACGATCCCAACAGTCAAAATGAAGACTCTTATACTGTGAACCTGATATCAAAATTTCAGTTGATCCAACAGTTGACTAATTTAGACTTTGTAGACACGTTAGGAGAGCTAACCGAACATAACAATACACATTATCATAAGAGACATTTCGAATCGAATAATATTTTACATCTATCTTAAAATAATATTAAATTTTGTTTGATTCGTCAATAACTGCTAAAAACATTTACATAACTTTGAAATATGTATATATTTACTCTTTGTTATTAAATTAAATGATTTAACAAAATAATATATTATATTTTATGAAAAAATTATTTTAATTTGAAAAAGTTAATTTCTCGTCACATATTTTTATAGGATTGTATACAAGTTGGGTTGAATCGATTTTTGTCAAATTCACTTAACCCAATAAAAAAAATTGGGTTAGGTTTGATCATGATTTTGTAAATATTTTTTAAAATTAACTAAATTATTTATTATTTAAATAATTTAATAATCTAATATTTTAAAAATATATTTATTTGTATTATAATTGAATAAATTAAATAATAAATACATAGTTATTAATATTAAAAATTATTTATTAATTTTTATTTTGTGAGTTGAGTTGGATTGTGTTTAATCTCAAGTTAAAAATACAAAACTCGTTTGTTGAAAATTAAATTATATTAAATTGGGTTATATTTAATCCAAATATATATAAAAACTAAACCTAATTTGCCTAGATTGAATTGAGTTACTCAACCCAATCTACTTAGATTGAATTGAGTTAGATTAGATTGTTGTATCATCCAATCCAATATTAATAACAATTGTTTGAAAAATAAAAACAATTGTTTCGTGTGAATATTATTTTTTAAACAAAAACTAACTATAAAAAACAAAGTTTTTTAACTTTAAATGTTCAAAATTTATTGTCACCAAAGATTGTTTTATGTGAAACTTGTCTTCTAAAATAAAAATTAAATAAAAATAGAAGAATTAGAGGGTAAGGTAAGACAGAAGATGGAGGAGGAAGTTGTCAAAAAAACTTATAAAATTAAGAAAAATTTAAAGTAATTGTAACTTTATGATTTGATGGAGGAGGAAGTTATAAAATTAAGAAAAATATAAAGTAATTGTAACTTTATGATTTGATAAAAGAAGTTATAACACCGTATATATTAATAAAACTATTCTAAGAGTAAAAAACTATCATTATTTAGTGACTAAAAAAATATAAATAAAATTAAATAAGTATAAAAAAGGAAGATAAATTATATTTTAAAAATGTTGTAAATAAGAGGAAAGTTTTTCGATAAAATTTATTTTGAGTCACCACTTTTATTTATTTTCTGATTTTTGTTTTACCCTTAATAATTTACTATGTTTTCTTGCAATGTTTTAAGTAATTTACTCTTTCTACTAAGATTTCCACATTTTTTTAATTTCTTTCTTTAATTGTTCTCCTTTAAAAATTTCCGCATTTCCTTTTAATTTCTTATCGTCAATGGTCCTTTAAGAATTTCTGAATGTAATTTTCGTATTTTATTTCTAAAAGAGCTGTTCTTTAAATTCACAGTATTTATGAGTTTAATCAGAACAGTCCAAATTAAAAAATTGTTATTTGTTAATCCAAATAAAAAGAATTCACGAACATTTTTTAATAAAAACAATTATATATATATAATTTTTTATTAGAAAACAGTATAAAATACTTTACATTCCGTGCATGACTTAGTCTCGTTCTCTTTTAATTTCCCTTCGATAAACATTATGTGGAGAGTGAAACTGAGCCCATAGCAAAACAAAATTGTGGGCTTAAAATTGGACCAAAAATGTAGCGCTTGGGAATGAGATTGGGTTGAGAAAGAACAATATCAATTTGGGTCCAAACTGGGTGATGAAGGTTGAAGTAAAGCCACGTTCTTCCTCCTGCACCTCCGTAATGGAACGATGGATATGCAAAACATATTATAAAGTCTATCAGATTGAAGAATTTGGAAAAGTTTTAGATATATTGACCCAGAAATATAAAAAAATTTTAAGTTTCGAATTATGAAATTCAAAATATATTTTTATCATTAAAAAAAAATCTGGAAAACTAAATCGAAATATACATTTTTTATGTATGATTTAAATTTGAGATATACTATTTCATAATAAACTTTTGAAAAAAATGATTCGAGAATATTAATTTTTAATGATAATAAGAAATAAATAAAAAAAACGAATGTACAACGAGAAAGTAATATGCAGTAAAAAAACCAATTAAATGAAACAAAATCCTAATCTTAAAACCAACACAACCTTTGTTTTAATTGATTAATTTACCGACAAATAAGAAAAAGGCAACAACGTTATGTTGAAGAAAATCAGCACTTGCCTGTTCATAAACCAGTGTGTCATGCATTACTATCGTTCTTTTCACCTGGTGGTGGGTCTAACCAACCAAATTATTTGGCATGACGTGTTTATTTCTTAATCTGTGCAAAAACATGTTAATAAATACAATAAATGATGGTTTAGTACATAGTTTCAATACATCATTCGTAGGTGTGTGTTTTTTATAATTACGTTATTAATATTGATGATTAATTTCAATAAAAAATATTTAAGGGATTATTTGAGATTGATATTTGAACTGAGAATAGCTGGCCACGGTGTGTGTGTCACGTTTGAGTGGTGCTTCGTCTGCATCATCTTATTCCTTCCAGGGAATCAAGACCAAACAGACAGCAATGATTCAATTGTTCGTTACTTTTTCTTACCCAGTTATCCAATAAAAAATATTAATTAATAAATAAATATTTTTAAGATATAACTCGTTTTAATCTCTCCTCCTATTCCATTTTTAGTGGAACAAAATAGAACTTGAAAAATACTTGTATATAACAATGGATAGTTATAACCAAGGTGTTATAAAAACTATTGGAATAAGAAAAAAGTATAAATATTATATATCTTTTTTATACTTCACATTAACAAATTATTGTTAATTGCTTAACTAATATTCTTACAATAATTTGTCCTAGTTGCAAGGTTTGTATAATTAAGATTAGTGTTAAGCATATTCCAAGTCCAGCTAAGGTACAGTGAATGGTGAGAATTAGAGAGAGAGAGAGAGAGAAAAAAGTCACATGAGGAGTAGAAAGAGAAGGGAAGAGAATTTGAGTGATTGGTGTGATCAGTCACGTTGATGACGGTCTAATGCCTCATCAAAGTCTATCTGTTCTTTCTGTCATGCATGCCTCTCTCTCTCTCTCTCTCTTCCATTCACTTTTTTATTTCACTCTCTTTTCTCTATAAAATTAACTCCTCACCTTCCTCCAAATTCTCTTCATCAAACTTAACGTCTACTCAACTCACCATCACCTACACCCACCTGTCTTCACAACCTTAATCTTTTCTATAAACAAAGATCTCAGTGAAAGAATAGTAGAAGTGTTTATGACCATGATGACCACCAACACCAATATCAACAACAACAACAACGTTGGAGAATTTGGGGACACCACTCTGACCAAGGTTTTTGTTGGGGGCTTAGCATGGGAGACTCCCAAGGATGCCCTCAGAGACCACTTTGAGAAGTATGGAGAGATCCTTGAAGCTGTCATCATTTCTGATAAGCTTACTGGCAAATCCAAGGGCTATGGCTTTGTAAGTATATTAATTATTACCAACATAATCTTTGTTTATTCATCATTTTTATACCGGTTGAATGAAGCTAGTAAGGAATCAATTTCATCAATTTATGTTGTGATTTTTGTTAATGAAAAAGGTGACTTTCAAAGAGGCTGGGGCTGCCAAGAAGGCTTGCGAGGACTCAGCAACTCTTGTTATCAATGGCCGTCGAGCTAACTGCAATCTGGCTTTCTTAGGTGCTCGTCGTCCAAGGTCTTCTTCCACTGCTTCACCACCCCCACAACCACAAGGTACACAAATTCATCTTATTTTCCCTTTTTAAACTGTTTTAGTAGAGTAAATATTCTATCATAGACATACATATCCAGAACAACATATGTGATTGCAATGCAACATTTTCAGTTTATGCGGAAAATCATTTTTGCTACACTTGAATGAATTATTAATTGATAAATCTGAATGAATGGTCTTTTGGTGATTATGAACATCATGGAGGTCTAACATTAAGATGCCACTGGCAGGAGGATCAAACAGTGCAGCAGTTAAGAACAATGCAGCAGCGAATCACGTGCAGCCATATTATCATCCAATGAGGACAACTGCTATGCCCTTCCATAATCAACCGCTTCCTTTCTATGGGTATGTCATGTGCTTTCCTCCTCCCATGATGAATTCATAAAAACCTCTACTCAAGTAACACTTTAAATCTTCAATCTTTTCATTCAGGTACACTCCAACCTACATTGTGACAGACATAAACTACAATTACAATCAGGTAATGGAATTGTAACTTGTTACCGTTGGTCCATTAAAGTGAACGGTTATCATTAAATGTAAGTAATAATACTAATATTATGCACTTTGGTGGACAGAAGCTGAGCTATGGCAATGGTGGGGCCTTCATGAATGGGCAGCAGTTGTCCCATGTGTACCCGAGGCAGGGTATTGTAGGAGGCAACACAGTGATGCCAGTGTACCCTCTCTATCAGTATCATCATCCAACGGAAACCATAGGCCTACCAGCTCACAGCTTTTATCCAACGACACCCTGGGCCCCATTCACCATCATTTCCAAACCATCCTCTATCATTCCTCATACAGGTGTGTAACATGACAGCATAAAATGTCCAGCAAGATCATGTGTACTTGTAACTATTCTTTTCACTTTGTTTGATTGTATTAATTAGTATAAAAATAGTGTTGCTAATTATTTTATTTTTTACTTCCAACCTGATTATGATTGTTATATTATGTTTGTAAGGAAGACAGTTGTATGGCCAAAACATGTTATCACTGCTACTTTGAATCATTCTTTGGTCAGTTTTTTCCTTTTTGAATGATAAAATAAGATCTTTTGTTGCAGGTACAGTTGGCACAGGTGAGTGCTTTAAAAGGGTTGTCTGAGATGAGCTGAGCTTAGTTGGCAAAATAACAGGAGGGTGCAGGGGGAGGGGGTGGTGCTTGCTGGTGGTGGCCTCACAGACCAACATTATTATCTGATCTGTCATGGCTTTTTATTTTCTTTTTCTTTTTTCTTTGTTCTTCTTTTCTTTCAATATTGTTTTATTTCATTAACAACTGTTAATTTAGGCATTTTCTTGATTGATGAGATGAGATTCTTTCATTCTCTTTTCTGTATAACACCTCAGCATGTGCTGTGAACAGTTTACATTCAACTGAAACCATCGATTTGTTCACCACTGTTGTAAAGAAAAATATATCCATCTCTATCATTAGTTGTTTTCCCATGTCTCGTACCTTAGAAACTTTTCTCCTTTCCCAAGAATCGCATTTGGTAAACTAAATTTGTTCAAAAAATAAATCATGTTACTAAACTATGTTTATAACTCTTCAGACTAAATTTAAAACAGTCAAAGGAAAATCCAAACATAATTTTAGTTATCTTAATATAAAAGTTATTTCATCATTAGCAACATGTTTGATTCTACTTGGATTCTATGAAACTGTGTGCTATAACAAAAGCTGTTCTAACGAGAAAAAGGAAAAAAAGCTGTACGATGATGTATTTTTTTAACAATGCCAACTAATGACATGCTGCATAGAGCATGAGGGAAATCCACACGATCTTATTCAACCTTTTAATATCTTGGTAGTGAAATAAAAAAATTAAAAAAAGTATTATTATTTCAATTATATTTTGGATTTATTCAAATATTAAAATATATGCAAATATTCAAGATACATTACTAAAAAGACTTTTTAATTTTGTTTACTGTAGAAATACAACAAGAAATAGTAATAAAAATAATATCGTATTTCGGTCACTAAAATATACAAAAAAAAAACGCAATTTTCTGAAAACGGGAATTAAGAAAAAAAGATAAGATATCAATTTTATGATCAGCGAAATGTATACACTTTTAACTGAAGTGTTTTAGTGGCTTTCATGTGAGTTTTAACAGTACAATATCATGTGAATTATCACGTTAATCTCGTATAAACGAAGAACTAGATTTTGGTCTTGAGAAAAGTCCCTAGAACTTAATTACATGGTTGAAGTTAGAGGAACCCAAATAATTACTAAAACGCTTTCAAAAAACATTGAAATTCATTGACAAATCACATAAAAAAAATACAGGTAAATTTCTGAATAAATGTTTAATATATTTTAAATTATATTTATATAAGTGATTAAAAAAGGGTAAGGAAATAGAAAAAAAGGAAAGGTTGTTGCTTCCTACACCCCATAATTTCTCCCTACATCCCCTAATTATATTAAACCTCATTTTAACGTTAAACTTATTTTCATCTTCATCTTCGAAATATATTCGAGATTAACCTTTTCAAAAATACATTTCATAATACTCAATCTGAAATATATTTCTAAAAATGCTTATCCGAAAATACATTCTAGATTTTCATAATGCGTTTTTGGAAAGGCTAATTCAAAAATGCATTATGAATTTGGTGTTTTTGAATGCATTTTTGAATTATCTTTTTTGGAAACACATTCCGAACACAAAATCCATAATACATTTTCGAATTGGTCTTAAATATATTCTATAACACTCAATCTAGAATATATTTTTGGATTCACTTTTCTAAAATTCAACTGCACTTTTGTAATATTATTTTAGATGAAGAAATTTGGGTTTCTTTGTGTAATTTGAGTGCAAAGACATATAATTCATATATAATATTAATGATTACTTATCTTTAATTGTTAGAATAAATATTCAATAAAGGTGATAACACAAAAATAGTCAAGGATGAAGGTGTAGAAGTTGTACATAAATAAAAGAAGAAGAAGTTAGAGTAAAAAATAAAATTATGAAAAATATACTTTAGATATTTGACTTAGGACATGAAGATGCAGGAAAAAATTATTGGAATACAGAAAGCAGGAGCCAAAAAGTAATTACCCTTTCACAGAAGGCCCAAAAGTGTTTCAATCAACCTTTAAGCTCAAGACCAAAACTTATATGGGCCATCTCCAGTGAGCCCAAGGTTCACCAATGGTTTGGATTTAATGCTGAAAGAAAGAAAGTTCCAAATGAAATTTTAATTATGGTTCCGAAGAATTTCAGGACAATATACAGTTTGGACTTAGTTTTATTTTTAATTTGTAAAAATAATTGTGCATAATGAATTAAAAAAAAACTTCTTTAATAATTATAATTTGAAATCTGTTTCTATTTTTATTTGTTAATAATTAGTTTCATAAAAGGCATCGGTTAATATTTTCTTAAAAATTGTGATTTTAATAATGTTGGATATTGGGAACATATTTTCTAACTATCAACTTGTACACATAGCCTGTAATGTCCCAAAACAAAACTCTACCAAACGCAATTAATATATTCGGAAAATGTTACATTTAATATAAATGTTGACTTTTTTCTTCTTTTTTTCCTTTAATGTAAATGTTGACTAATTTTGTGCGGTTGAGTATTCAACAATGAACATCAAATATCATGTACTTCTTCCATTGAAACCAAAACTTTCTCATCTCATCATGAAATTTACTAATTAAACTGTAAATATTAAATTTGTTCGTAATTAAACTTTATTATTACTGTAAGAAGAAAACAGAGTTTTGATTTTAAAATAAACTTTTCAATTCTTGAATTTCATGAGCGATAGTAATATGCCATTTATTATTTGTGGATAAAAATAATTAAGGATACCTCGATAAAAAAAAAGTTAATATTCAAAACAATTAAAAAAATGCTATAAAGGATAAGAAAGTTTTAAAATAATATCTCATATTTAAGTAATAATTAATATTTTATAAGTCACTTGAAATTGAAATTAATGATTTTAGATTCAGACTTAATTCTAAATTTAATAAAATAATGTTTTTTATTATATAATAATATAATAAATATATAATGAATTTATTAATAATAATATTTGTTATATAAAAAATAATTATAAGTGATGAAATTTGTTCTTATAAATATAAAATATAATAGAATAAAAAAATAGATGATCGTGAGAAGCTGAGACTATCGTGTTTTGTCTTAGATAAAATAAAAAAACTAAAAAATATTATAATTTTATAAAAAAATTATTTATTCATTTTTATCAAAATCCATTTGATACAAAATTTAACCGATTTTTTCAATTTATTTAATATTATATCAAATTAATAAAAATTTAATTTTTTGAACACAACATTTGTCTGTTGTCGATTGGATTAGTTGAATTGCTGATCGAATCTGAATTTTAAAATAATGCTCAAAATCAATAACTTTTTTAATGAGGATAAAAAAAGAAAAATACCGACTAAAATGCAATTAAAACTTCGTATTAAAAAATATTTTAAAAATATTTATATTTACCTTTTGCAATGAAGACTAAAACAGTTTAAATATATATTTTGAAATTATCGAATAAACTTTAATGGACAGTTAACAAATAAACGTGATTACATTACATTAGTAATTAAATATGTTTTATTATATATTCATGCTAACGTCTATTTAGGGTTTTTTGTTAGTAAACTCGAAACGTGGACACATGTTTTTCGATTCAAAATTAACAATCACATCTTGCAAGTATTATGAAAAGGATCCAGCACCCTAAAATTCTTATTTTATTTACCAAAACAAGAGAAACACAATTAAAACATTTATTTATTTTGTAATTAAAAAAGGAGTAAGTTTTAAGTTTTAAAACATAATATGTAAATTTAACTAAAATTAAATCTGAGTAAATTTATTCTTAATCATATTATATATATAAAATTAGGATAAAAGACCTTCATTTTCAACTCATCCGTTCAATACGTCTCATTTTTAACACACGTGTGAGATAAAATATAAAATGTACCTATAAATGTGACATAAATAATAATTAGTTGAGGCACATTAACCATATCACATAGGAAGGGCCAAAAAAATCTCTTCATAAAGATATTATTTTGGGGTGTATCATGACTTCTTTTTATAAAGATATCAAGTTATTTCAAGTGTAACTTTAATAAAGTTAATATTGATATTCATCTTTAATTATTTTTAAATTAAAGCAATTAGATTAAGTGAAAATAAATGGTAAAAATGAAAAATAAAACTTTTTTAAAAATACTTTTTACAAATTATATATATTAATTCTCATATTTAAAATATTATCCATTTTAATATTTTAGTTTATTATGATTTTGTTTTTATAAAACATCTCGTTAGATTAATTAGATTAATAAAAAGTAGGTATATAAATTATGATTGGTTTTAATTATTAAATAATGTGAGATTTAACCGTGTTTCTAATATAGATTAAGAAAAAAATGTGTATATACAATATAATTTATTTTTAACTTTTAAACAAGACTCATAAATATATGAAAACATAATATTAATATAATTAAAAAAATATGAATAGAATGATATTTTACCGTGGATTTCAAGTAAACATCAATATATAATTTAAAATGAGAATAATTCAATTTCATGTCTACATTAATAATTTTATTAAAATTAATTTTTATGTTCTATATATTATTTATTTTGTAAGTCATAATTTCATATTTAAAATGATTTCAATAAAATTGAAAAAAAAATTACTTTAAATTGAATTTTTAACTTTAAATTTATATATAGTTAGGAAAGAAAAGAGTTGAATTAAAATGAAGCGAATGATGCAAAATGGGCACCGACACACATGATTGCGATTTTATGGGCAGGTGACTGACCAAGTGGTGGTTGGCGGAATCTACGTGGCAACGAAGCCAACGACATGTTCTGAGGTATGCCATGGCATCCATCCACTACTATTCAATTAAAATAAAAACCTTTTCTTCCATCAAACCCCAATAAATTATGCTTTTCTTTTCCTTTACCCTCATGCAACTTTCCCCCTCCTTTTCAACAACCTAACCAGTCACACAAAAATCTCATTAATTTTCTAGCTTCACTTTGCCACCAATTTATGAACAATAACAT